GTGATACTGCCAATGGCAGCGCTGTAGGAGGGGGACAGCTGAAAACGGAGGCCTCCACCTCTGTTTAACGATGGCCATGTGATGTATCAGCCACCTGGAGGCAGGACTCAAAAGCCTGAATTTTGTCTGAAACTCTCAGACTGAAGAAGTCTCTTGGAAGAGAGACGAAACGTTTCATTAAAGAAGAACCCGTCCAGAAGACCTATACAATTTTTTTCCTTTTAGTAAGAATTATAATCTTGAATGTGGTTTTAGATGTCTGGAATGTTCATTTTGACTAGGAAGAAATGTATTTGAGATATCTGAAATACATATCCAGTCAAGCTATTAAATGTTAAAACGGCCTGCCATACAAACCTGTTCTGCGTTGCTGCTCCTTTTTGCATGCGGACTTCCAGGAAAGGAGCTGAGCGGGCTAAAGAGAGACGGTATTTAAATCTGAAATGGCCTGACACCGTCAGACAGCTCCGTGTGTGTCTGCCGTGAAACTCAACCTATCAAAGTTTCTGACTCACGTAAGTTAATTTATACGAAAATATATTTGTTTATTTTTCACTTAGGCGTAAAAAAATGAGTAGCTAATTATTTTTAAAATGTTTGAAAACCTAGACTATTGTGTGGAATTAATGTTTCAACTTTCGTTTTTGACTCCCAGTTTAAAAGTACAAAAAAATCCCCAAGATCTTTTTATTTATTTATTTATTTATTTATTTATTTATTTATTTATTTATTTATTTATAGATCTAAACAAGCAGTGATAACTTTACACCATATTTTATCCCTACATTTTGTAGTTTTGGACACTGAGTCATAAGTTGAACAAGCTGCCAAGGTAAACAAGAAGAAAACTCTCTCTTCCTTCCAACAGAGTGAAAGTTGCTCATTGTGTGATGCCCTGACCTTTTCTTTAATGTTAATGATTAAACCTGTTCAAGATGACTTTCTGCCTTTGAGCACATATGTGACATATGTTAGATCTTTGATGCTTTAAAGCTGTAATTTATCACTGGAAAAAAAATAAATGATGCTTGCCTTTTAACAAGTCTGGCTCAGACAGGCATGAAAAGCTAGAGGTTGTCTTCTCCCTGCTGTGTGTGAAACTGCTGTACCTGCACTGGAAGCAGGATACTGTCACAGCAGAGCGCTTGGCTGAACCTAAAAGTTGTCTTGAAAGGCAAGGAAACGAGTCAGGTGACATTCCTGTCCCCGTGAGTCCTGATTCAGCTGTGGGCGCAGTGAGATCTACCACTGCTGCCCTGCTGGTTTGTTGTCTCTGCGGGTTTAGGGAGGTGTTGACTTGGATGTTTCCTTGCTGCTCTGACTCGATTGTCTTATGGGAGGGACAGTAACTAACAGCCTGGGAAGCTTTTTTTTAATAGGGAGGAGACTACATATTTTGTCAACCATTGGTGTGATAAAACATGAAAATCAACATGTCATTGTGGGTGATCAGGTCATCAACCGCCATTAGGAAAGCCTGTATGCCAGCAGGCTCAAAATGTGCTTGTCCTTCAAAACTATTTACTCTAAAATAAACAGCACGTTTCAACATACCCTGATCATTCACAGGTCACATGAGATCTTTGTTTGAAACTTTTGATATGCAAGAATAAATGCATTTATTCAAGGTGTGCTGAAACAACTTTCTCTTAGAATCACTTTAGAGCACTTCATTTGTTTCAACCCATTGTAGGAAAACTGAAGACGCCTCATGCAGAAACAGGTCTTTGAAGACTTTCGCTACCATCGCTGGTAATTCTGGATTTGTGGTATATTACAGCCTGATCTGACTGCAGAGTGGACCACATTATTTTTCCCGTTTGACTCAGTGGTCAGTAATAGTAATAGTTCCTGCTACGCCTGCCAGATAGGAGTTTCTCTGTCCTTTTACTGCAGTAATCTGGAACTGTACCCACAGTTTTGATCTTGGTGTACCCCAAGGCTCTATATTGGGTACCATCTCTTCTCACTTTACATGATTCCATTCCCAGTGACCCTTTTTGTGGCTGACTTTCAAATCTATTTGCATATTCCAGTTGTTGTTAAACTGTGTCAGAGAGATGAGACAAAGATACACTTCCTTCATCTGGACAAAAAGAAAACAAAAAACAAAATGGAAGTTATTTTGTTGATAATTTGGTATTCAAAATGGTTACAACAGTGATAGCATCTCATTACGTTTTTATAGTTAGTCATTTCTTTTGAAGAAATCTTGGTGTGACTTTTGACAGTGCTTTTTAAATCAGATAAACAGATCAGCTCCGTCGTTATGTCGAGCTTTTTTCCGACAACAGCTCCTTAATTAAAGGTTACGGTCTACATTCCATCATATCAGTCAGACAGTAATTTGTGTCTTAATTACACATTGCTTGGATTATTGTGGGTTTTTTTTTTTTTGTGTAGATGGGTCTACTCTCTAATGACTGTAAGCGTCGGTTCAAAACACATCAATTTGTCACCTGACGGGAGGGAAAAAAACGTGATCATGTTGTACCTGTTTACCTCTTCTCCATTTCATCATCAAGTTTACAATTTATTGATTGTTGAACTTCTGCATCGAGTCAGAGAAATCAGCTGCTTTTAGACAATGTTACTGTGCCTTTTTTTATCTTTATGTCATTATTATTTAAAAAATTTTTTGGTGGATGGCCTTCAATCTGTAGAACCTTTGTAAAATTGCTGCTCAGACCAGTGATATCACTGCTTAAAACTCTTTTGATTTCACTACCTTTTAGTTGTAGTAATGTGAGATATTGTGGCTTTTATAGTGGGCATACATACTGTATTTTATTTGTTTTATGTTAATTTATTGTATTTGAGTTCAAATTTATGCAGTACTTTGGATATTGAAGATAGTTTTATAAATGTATAAACTTTAACTTGATCTGATTTGGAGATTTTTGTTTATTTAGGGATCAAAGACATGAAGATTTGATGTTATTGTGGGGAATCTTTTCTCGATGAAAAATGAAACTTTACAGGATTATAAACTGGGCAGATGTCAACAATTCACACAGTGGCTTTTTTATTATTATTTTTTAGTTCAGCAGTTTGTGCTACATTATCAATATACTGTATATATATTAAAAAAACAAAATTCAGCTGTAAAATTCTTTTAAATAATTTGTGAAAACAATAACATGACGCGTGTCCTTGCGCGTTTTGAGCATCTCCGCCCGATTTAAACAATGATGTTTTTCTTCATCACCGATCAGATTAAATCTGTTGCAAAACACGCAGAACAGGCTGTCCAATACGTGCACTCTCCCAGAAGCTGCTCTCTCTCTCATTTTGAAGGAACATTTTCTTTTCTTACAAAGGAATTCCAAGTAAATACGACCGTGCTGTTTCATGATTAACTCAAGTTACCACATTCATCCTGTGTGGACTAATAGAGTTCGCGTTTAGTTCTGCTGCTCCTAAATAATAATTAAATGTTCTTTCAGATAGGAGAACAATGCAGTTAGTTTTGCTCTGTTTGCTGAACACACCTGATCCAGGCAGGACAGGTGCACCTGTGAATGAGTAACACATGGAGAAAACATTTCACTTGGGATGAAGTTTCCTGTAGTTCTCAGATTTTATTATATGTGTATATTGTAATTCCCACCAGTAGTTTTGCTCAAGTGAATCTAAGCAGATTGTGTTTCACCTTGGTTTTAGTTTCCTGCCCTTCTGCGTTCAACGTCCTTGTGGCGCTTTGACAGATGTTTTTAGGCATACCTTCCTCGTACCTAATAGCTGAAACATGCATACACGTCATGATTGTTTATTAAAGTTTTACACGAGGAAACACTTGTTGTTAGTAAAAAGATGTAGTGTCAAACTCAGTTACACAAGTGGGCCAAAGCTCAGATCTCGGTCCAACCCAGAGGAATGCGCTAAATACAGAGCCTAAAAGAGAAACCTTGAAACTATTTTGCATTTAAAGTATTAACTGGAGGTAGATAAAATGCTAACGAGAGGCTAAACTTTGCATTTTAAATGTCTCCTCGCGTCAGTTCACTAGTGTGTGCTCAGAAATGCTCTTCAGCTGACGAGTCATGGCGCAATTTCTTAACTAAAATATCTATCGTTCCTTAAAGGAACCTTCTCCTGTTTTTCATGTTAGATTTTTAAATTAAAATCGTTTTATGTTTGGAAATGACAGCGTTAGAGTTGTGGTAAAATCTTTAAAACAACATTCATGCATTATCGAATTTTGTACAATCTGTTAGAGCGCAGACTCACAACTACCACATTAAATTTGAGATGATTATTTTAAAACTAAGATCAAACCATTTTTGTGTTCATTAGCTGTGGTCTCCATCTACAAAAGTTAGTTAGTTGTAGATGTACATTTAATTCTGAAAGTCATCAAAACCATTCAGTGGCTCATGAGATATTAAGCTAACACATACACACAGACCAAGGCAAATCATCACATTCTCTACCTATTGGCAGTGGATGATAGGACTGAGTATAAGTGTTGCTCATTTTGTCATTGATGAAAGCAAAACTTTTTTTTAGTTATAAACTCTCAGAAAGAAAATATAAAAGAGTAAATACTTAGTTTTTTATTGCAGTCAAAGAAGATGTTACTCCATCTTGGATTTAATTAGAGCAGATTACCTGTAAATGTTTGGAAAAAAAGTGACTAAATTCACTTCAATAAAAATAAATTTCATGTAATTATTGATTAATTACACCAGAAGTATTGTTCAGGTCTTTCTATGAGTTTCTGTGAAATATCCGGTTTAACAACCATAGTTTGGAGAAAAAAATAATTCTGACAGGATTGACAAGATAATTGTCTAATCTAACATTATAATTTTAAAAGAATCAAATTATTGTATACAAACACTGTTTCATAACTTTTTACATTGCAACCAGTTTTGCATGACATGGTTATTCCAGCAGAAATGTTATGATCCTATTGTTTTGAAGTGTCCTGGACTACATAGCTGGTGCTACAGCTAGCTGTAGCTGCTACTCTTTGTTCTTGCAGGTACACAGATAATTCAATGTAATTAACCATGTTCTGTAAAACTGATGGCAGCAAAAAGGGTTTTCATAAGTCCTGGCATGAACCACTATAAAGTTTTTAAAATGGAACAGGATGGCAGCAAACCACTTTGGTCTTAACCCCTCATCAGATTAACCATTAATTTATCAATCCTGTCGGAATTCTAGTCTGTTTTTCCAAACTGAGGTTGTTCAAAGGGCTTTCTGCAACACAATTGATCTGAACTATGGTTTAAATGTTACGATTTATTTGCAAACTACATTCTTCAGTGTGCTTCATACTAGTCTCAACCATCATTGCAGTTTATTGGCTCCATTAGTTTCATTTGACATTAGCATCAGAATCAAGCATTATTGACCATGTACGCTCACACATTCAAGGAATTTGGTTCTGGTTGTGGTAGCTCAGAGTGCATATAAGAATTACAAACATTGTGCGTAATGGGTTCAGCAGTTAATGACATAAAAAGAAGACAAGATGAGATAAAATTGTAAAAATAAAGCCAGTTGTTCAGGAGAGTGATAGCATATGGGAAGAAGCTTCTCTGTAGTCTGGTTGTCCTGATTCTCATTTGACTAAAACATACGTAGGCCTGAGGGAATGCACCGGAAGAGATGATGACCAAGGTGTGATGGATCTGGTATTGTTGTCCCACTTCAGGTCCCTGGAGATTACTGTGCCCAGGAACTTACAGGACTTCACGATCATCACTGGTCTGTTACAGATGGTGGGTGGTGGCAGGGTTGTGGGGCTTTGCCTAAAGTCCAGTATCAATCACCTCACCTGTTTCTGCTGTGTGCAGCTCAAGATTGTTGAGTTTGCTCCAGTGGGCCACCTGGTTGACCACCTGTCTGTTAGCAGACTCATCACCGTCATGAATGAGGCTGATGAAGTCATCTGCAAACTTTATGATTTTGACAGAGGGGTCTGAAGAGGTACAGTTATTATGTACAAGGAGAAGAGCAATGGGGCAAGTACACAACCCTGAGGGGCACCTGATTTTGGTAATCTTGGTTCCTGAGGTGAGCTTCACGAGCCTCGGCTGCTGCTCTCTACCAGTGAGGAAGTTGGTGATCCACTGGCTGGTGGGGGTTTGCACACACAGCTGGGTCAGTTTGTTATAGAGCTGTGCTGTGATGATGGTAGCGTGACGTTGACTGATATTCCCTGCAACCTCTGCAAATCTGTTATGACGGTATGCAAACTGCAGTGGGTCTAACAGAGGGTTGGTGATGTCCTTCATGCGAATGAGGACCAGTCTCTCAAACCATTTAATGAGTACAAAGGCTAAAGCAATGGGTCTGTATTCATTCGGTCCTGTGATGGATGACTTCTTGGGCATGGGTACAATGGGCCTCATGCAAGAACCGTTCGTACGAACAGATTTTTTCTTAAGTTGTGCGTACGAGTGATTTAGGAGAATTTGTGGCATTCACTAATTTTCTCATATTATAAGATTTTTTTCAAATACGAACAAAATTCATGAGTGGTCCAGACCTGTCTTATATTTTACGAGCAGTCAGTCTGTTGTCATCCAGACGGATTTTTCTTATTAATAATTTTATATTTCATTAGTTTGAAGATATTTTGAGTTGAAGATAAATCACACTTCATAATTATGTTGACAATCAGTTATTCTGTTTGAATTGGAATTAGATTTTAAATGTAACTAATGACATAAATTGGTTAGATTAAATTAAATTGGCTATTAATGCTGTTGTATAACACTACAATATTAATATGAAGATCTCAAACCAAAAACCAACTTAAATTATGCTTTAATTGAAGTTTGGAGACATTTTAAAAGGCTTTTTTTTCAGAACCGCATCTGACACTTGGAACGGTCGGGAGGGAGGAGACTGGCAGGCCAGGGTGGGGGGTAGCGGTGCTCGACTGCTCTTCTTCTGAATAAATAAAAACTATGTAACACAGTTGTTTACACTTAAATTAAAAATGTTTGACCAAAGAAAACCCGGAGAAGGACTAGAGAGAGATGAGTATGATTTAGATTTTTATTTCTGTGTCTGTATACGACCCACAGGAGACACGACATTAACAGCTTTCATTCCTTGGTTTTAGCAGCTCTTTAATTCCACAGCTGACGCTGCTAAAAATGACAGATTATTTTTTCTGGATCTCTGAGAGCAGAACTTCAATCTCCAAACTCGTAAAGTTCTTCTTTTTTACTTTGCGATGTAATTTATGAATGGACACTTCCTGGTATGTGGGGCAGTAAACGTAGTCTTATATGGTGTTTTTGGGGTGGTAATTATGTAAATTACTTCTCCTCGTGCACAAGCACCTGAATACGCATTCATCAGTTTACGCAGCTCATATACACACTTTTCCTGAAGATAGAAGGTTTTGTTGAATCTGACGTTCGTACAAGCCCTTCGTACGAACAAAAGTAAGAGAAATTTAGGATAAGAATAGAACCTGTTCTTGCATGAGGCCCTATAAGAGTGTGTGAATCAGGAGGATACAACACACAGCTCCAGTGAAGTGATTTGCTTGTAATAGTTATTATAGTAACAATGAACTGTCAAATCTCATTTCTAATATCTCAACTTGAATAAATTGATGCATTTTGTTTCGGATTTTTTAAAATCAAATTCAGGTTTCATTTCCTGCTTTGTTCAGCTGGTAAATAAATGAATGTTCTGCAGTGAGGGGAGACATTTGCTTCTGCTGTAGTGATTTATTTATTTTTCCCCACCTTCTCTTCTTGACCTTTCAGATTCTCTCCCAGACTGACTGCCGGTGAGATTTACACAGCCACCTCAGGACAGTGGAGAGCGGCTCCTGTCCTTGTCTCCTCCCTCTGTGCCATGTTGAAGAGCGGCACGTGGCCGGGCAACGTTGCCGTGGGACCTCTGAGTGACATGGACAGTTCAGGGAGCTGCGACAGTGTGATCAGCACCAATTCTGGCTGTGTGAGTGCTGGAGCTCATCTCGCTGACATTCCTGGCTGAGTGTTGATGTGTCACTATCAGTCTGTGGTTGGAAAGTTAAAATGAAGAAATGAAATTTGAGCTTCAGTTTGTTTTAATTCTGCTTGCATGCACAACCAGAGACTGTTAAAGGTCAAATGTGAGGAAGTGAAATCAAAAGAATCTTGAAGCTCCACAGTGATGTGTCATGCCTTTGTGTCGGCTTAAGTGTTTACCTGTTGTTCCTGTCTGCTGTTTGCCTTACTGTTGGAGTGATTTTAGAGTTAAATAGTCTTTGTTTTTTGAAGTGTTTAACAGTGTTTTATCATGTTTGCAGTGTACAGTCTCCTCCAAAAGTACTGGAACAGCAAGTCAAATTCCCTTGTTTTGTTGTACACTGAAGACAGTAGTGTTTAAGATCAAAAGATGAGCATGAGACAAAATGTCTAAATGTCTTTTATTTCCTGGTATTTACATGTAGATGTGTTAAACAACTCAGAACATAACACCATTTGTTTGAACCCATCCATTTTTCAAGTGAGCAAAACTGTTGGAACATGTGATTGACAGGTGTTTCTTATTGACCAAGTGTTGCCTTCAAGGTTGGTTGCTCAAACATTAAATGGCGGCTAGTCTACTTTTTGTTCTGGGTTTAAACCTATTAAGTAAGTTTTTCTTGTTAAAGAAACATGAAGACCAAAGAGCTGTCTATGGGAGAAAAACAAGCCATGTTGAAGCTGAAAAAAGGAAGGAAAATCAATCAGAGCCAGTGGACAATCATTGGGCATAGCAAGCAACAATTTGAATGTCCTGAATAAGAACGAAACTACTGGTGTACTGAGCAAGATGCATCCAACGAGTCGGTCAAGGAAAACAACAGTAGTTGATGATAGAAATATAGGGCCTCATGCAAGAACAGGTTCATATTCTTATCCTAAATTTCTCTTACTTTTGTTCGTATGAAGGGTTCATTCGAACATGTCACGTCAGATTCAGCAAACTCTTCTATCTTCAGGAAAAGTGTGTAAATGAGGAACGTAAACTGATGAATGCGTATCAGGTGCTCATGCATGAGGAGAGGAGATTAGCATAATTACCACCCCAAAAACACCATATAAGGCTATGTTTCCTGCCCCACATACCAGGAAGTGCTCATTCATAAAAGCAAAGTAAAAAGAACTGTACGAGTTTGGAGATTAAAGTCCTGCTCTCAGAGATCCAGAAAAAAAATCTGTCATTTTTAGCAGCGTCAGACCTGCTAAAGCTGAGGAATGAAGTGACGACTGCTGTTAATGTCGTGTCTTCTGTTGGTCGTACAGTCACAGAAATAAAAATCTGAATCATATTCATCTCTCTTTAGTCCTGCTCCGGTTTTTCTTTGGTCAAATGGTTTTAATTTAAGTGTAAACAACTAGTTTTCATTTATTCAGAAGAAGAGCAGTCGCGCACCGAAAAAAATCTTAGAATACGAAAAAATTGGTGAATGACACAGGTTCTCCTAAATCCCTTGTACGCACAACCTAAGAACAAATAGGTTCGTACAAACGGTTCTTGCATGAGGCCCATTGGGAGAGCTGTGAAGAAAAACCCAAAACATCAGGAAGTGACATCAACAAAGACCTCCACAGTTCAGGGGTGAAGGTATCACCACCCACCGTTGGAAGAAGACTCAGAGAACTGAAATATAGAGGCCTTACACAAAGATGCAAACCACTCAGCAGTAATAAGAATTGGAAGGGAAGACAATCTGGTTCAGATTGTCTTGGTAGAGATTAATCTTGGTCTTGATGAGACCAAGATTAATCTCTACTAAAATGATGGAAAGGCCAAAGTGTTATAGTTAATTGTTGTGTATTGTTAATGTTATTTACTTTAAGATTGTTTGTTCCTTTACTTTTGCTCATCTAAAAATGCTGTGGTGTTATACAAACAATGATATACTGTAATATCCTAAGTCAGTGTTTTTCAACCCTGGTCCTCAAGGCACACTGTCCTGCATGTTTTAGATGTTTCCCTTTTTCAACACAGCTGATTTCAATTGATAACTGATTAACAGGCTTTTGTTGGACTGTAATCATCTGAATCAGGTATTTTTTTGACAGTGTTAATACCATACCATACCATACCATACCATACCATACCATACCATACCATACCATACCATACCATACCATACCATACCATACCATAC